AAGCTGAACAAAGATTAAAATGTGTGTATACCGTTTACATAAATCGATCAGGTCAGCGGTTAGAGATCCTGACCACTAATCATTATGGTTTAAAAGTAAACTATGCGAAGAATTCCGCTTCGGAGTACTCTAATATTGTGTAACGAGACGTGGATACTCACAGTCGATGAATGTTGCACAAATGCCATAAAAATAGAGCATATGAAAAGAATTTCAGATAAGTCCACTATGCAGAAAATATTATTGGCAGTCACAACGCATTTATCTTTGCAGCCATAGAGAGCCTCTTGGTTAACTTGATGTTTGGCCTTCGATTTGCGCAAGAAAGCTGCTATTAAAAGTCCTGTTTTTGGCCGCTTCTTAACCTACGTTGTATACCAGCAAATCTTTAATTCCGACAATTGTGCGGTTGCCAATTAGAGTGTTTTGGTCGGTTACAAGCCGCCATTTTTTAAGCATACTATTATTATGCAGGTTTGCTAGAGCTTGATGAGCGTGAAGTTTTCACCGTTTGAAAAAATGAGTGTAAGCTAACAACTAGGAAATCACAGGTGTCATAAAATCTTAAAAGCGGTTATAATTTAATACTTATTTGAAGAGCAGTCCAAGAGACAAAATGCTCAGAATATCATAGGAGTTTTCATTTGTAGGGAAGACGCGTAGCTCAGCGTTTATCAATTTAGAAACGCATCGACTGACGTAAATTAACAAGCTGTAACCAATCATTTCGACAGGCAGTAGTCATTGTGTTAATATCTCCTAAGTTTTTTACGCACGTCACACAACGGCTTAGTTAAAGAGAGATGGACTTTAATCAACCCAACCTTGTGAAACCACCCGCTTGAAACTGCACACCACACGGCAATTATTTCAACTCGAGGGACCAATGCGTGTGATGTAGATGAAGTTTCATCCAAACGCACCGGTTAGGCTAACGTGGTGTCGCGAAACAGAATTTAAGATCCAAACAGACTTACAGGCATTTTCTTTAACAGAGTAGCCTATATGCTTGTCGTTACCAGTACTAGAAAAGATATGAAAAAGCTGACGCGGTATGAGCTGCGTGCAACGATATACTGCACCCAAACTGCCTAGTAATATAACCCGGTTTTGTGATAACGGAATGTCTCTACTGTTATATCATTACCCTTGGCAATTACTATCTGATAAGTATCAAGTAGTCACATGTGCTAGTGATCACGCATTTAGCCCCGCATCAACTTTGCTGAAAATGGCCGTTACCGTAAATCCTGTTAAGGTTGAAAGATTAACACGTTAGATACGAAACTCTGGGCTTAAAAAGCTGAGGCCCTAAGTTTTGGAAGAAGAAGAAACAGTAGAATGTGACTGACTACATAACTAGTGAATCACTGGTCAAAGTAAACATGGATTACAGATGTCCTAGATGCATACTGAGGCCGACATATATTCACCTAATTCGGTCGATAAGCTCAAGTTTCATTGAGAAGAAGCCAGATGTGCTTTCATACAACGTGTGCGTAGCGGCGAGATTAAAGATATCCAGAGTCACCATCGACCAAACGAACAGTATAGCTGAAGATTAAGAATATCGATTGAAAGGGGCATACACAGAGAACTAAATGAATTGAGGAATAGATACATCGATGCAGATGGACTGGGTTTACTAAACAGTAGACTTTACTCTGCTGTCAGATTAAGAACGGTAACTAAAGTTGGTGCATGGACATAACCAATGAAAATAGAAAGGTCAAAATCTTGACATAAAATAAAGGGTAAAGGTGAAAGGATTGAATAGTAAACTTGAAAGTAACCAGGCACCAACTTGAAAACTCACCATTTGATTTTATTCGGGCGACATTAATTATCAACACTCATCATGGATATTCAACAGAATGTCGCAAGTGAAACATTATGAACGGCTCTTGGGTCAATATTCTCACATCTATACACACTACAAGCAAATACCTGATTCGACTACTTGAACATTTCGTTACCTCATATATATAAGGTTGTTCGACTTAGACAACCCGAATTTAGTGAGGCCGATTCCTGTTATTCATCAGATTATCGAATACCCACATGAAATATGCAACATATTGATGCATTCGAATAAATCTGATCCAACAATTAGTTGAACTGACAAATGCCGGATCCGCACTTATGTTCCCCCGAACCCATCCTGTAACTGACGAGAAAACGTAGACGAATTGTCTTTTATAATACAAATATGCGTCCGTTTCTTGCTTCACATTGTCGCACCATTGCGGGTTCATCGACCATATTCCTAGTCACGTCAACGATCTCGTGATGATACTGGTATGTGCATGGATCAAAGATCATTATCTGACAAAGTTCCGCTGATGCGATCGTCAAATTAAGGATTATCTGTTCGCAACCTCTCCAAGTAGACAAAGTTGCACGGGGCGCCCACTGTAACACCACTATGACATGTCTTCTTAATTAAAAGCACTCTGACTGAAATAAAGCAACCTTGAAATACCCTATTCATTACATCAAACCAAATAAACCTAGTATACTTCCTTAGGTGCCAATCAATACCTTGGATTAGGCGTAACAATTCAATGAGGCAGAGGAATTGACGCACGTTCACGAAGCCAAAGAACGCATTACGAGTGGAACACATTAACTACAATCATGCGACCGTCATATGGATGCTGGTTCACTCAATGAGATGCGGTCGAAACCTAATGCCGCAATATGCGATGACAAATTGCATGGTTATATTGAAAGATACTTTCACCAGTAGTAAAGGGAACTAAATTCGTTTGGTGTATTGAAGATCACCGTAAACGGAGCTTTGTGACATAAGTATTTCTAAGTTCAAGTGTTAGCTGTCTGTCAATACTTGGAAGATAGATCAAGGAGTCGGTAATTCCGCACCCTATGTTATGAGCCAGTTTGAAATTATAATGTCATGTTTACTGTCGTAATACAATGTCATCGCAGTGAATAATTCACAAATATTCGGTTAGCCTTAAATTGCTGTTCCTTCAACCGTGAGATTATATATTTATAAATGTGATACAGTTTCTCAGCGCATGTTGCGGCATTAGGTTTCGACCGCATCTCATTTGGTGAACCAGCATTCATATGATGGTCGTAGGTTTCTAGTTACCGTGTTCCATTCATAAAGCCTACTTTGGCTTCGTGAACGAGCATCATTTAGTCTACCGCGTTGAATAGTTAAGCTTAATCCAAGGTATTGGTTGATACCTAACGAAGTATATTAGGTTTATTTGGTTTGATATAATGAATGCGGTATTTAAAGGCTGCTTTATTTCAGTCAGAGTGCTTTTAATTCAGGAGATTTGTGCTATCAACTGTCATACCATTATTGCAGTGGGCGGTCCGAACAACTTTGTCTAGTTGGAAAGGCTGCGAACAGATAATCCATCATTTGACGTCTGCGTCAGCAGAAATTTGACAGATAATGACCTTTGATCCATGCCCCACACGGTCAGTTATTTTTATCCCATCTTTGGATCACAGAGCCCTTTCAATCAACTGGGTTTTGTGGGTTGCGAGTAGGGTTTAGACGCCATTCTAGATCATTTGACAGAAAGGACAGCAGTGGCTTGGACAGGTGTCGGCTTTTACATCAAGTAACACATTTTTACTGTATTATTCTGGTGTTTTGATCACCGATCCATGCCGCTTAATTTGCTTTTGTCGGTAGTGGTAAGCATATAGGAAACTACCAAAGGCTCCGCTGGCTTCAGACTAGAGATTTAGAATAGGCCTAACGCGTAACGACTAGTTTCAATCAACGGTTAAGTTTCTAAGTGTATTTAAGTGTTTCACATGTCCTACCTGACGGTACCCACATAAAGCTTTTGCTTACTAAGTATAAATATTTATCTTAAAAGGTGCTACAGTTTTTCGCATCTAAGCGAGTGTGGAGGGGGAATGTAGGTATTAGACCAAAGAAGCGATTATCTATCCATTAGTTCGGATGGAACTAAGGAAGAATGTAACTATCCCGATTGATATACGTTTGTAAGCATTATGGCACGCAGCGTAACGTTCATTCCTAGTGGCTACACACTCATTCCCGCTGGCAAAAATATCCAAAGGTTCGTGGTGCATGAGCGGTATTCGCGGAAGCGTATAAATAGTGCATTCTCCCTTAGATGCTTTTTGTATGATTCTGCAGATAGCCACACTATTTGAAACCATCGTAAAGAACAGTTACTGGCTGGTAGTTTGCAAATTTAGCAGGATTTACCTTTTGAGAATAGGGGTGACTTTACCATGTATCCACATAGTGGGAACCTGACTGTCACCCAGACTAAACCGGAGCAGATGCTCTTACTTTCAGTTTGTGCGTGAGTAATCGAAAGATTTTAGCTCGATAACGCTCCCGTCCCAGCAAATGCTCCGGCGATACTGCTCAATGAGTTGTTGCCTTTGCGTATGTCTAGCAATCACCTTATCAAATAGCCCTACATGTCCTGTTATCCAAAAGTGACGTGAGGTTCGCGCTTCAATAATAACTGGGACCGTTCCGGAGCATCACTGCGTTCCAGAAGACGCATGTGAAGTTTATTTAGAGAACCGACGAAACCAAAGGCGTAGGAACCGAGAAATCAGGCGCAAGTCCGTATGGGCGTGTTTCCCTAACTCCGATCCGCTGCCTGTCTTTGTAGTCAAAAGCTCTGTGTGGTGTCCCTTAGATCACGAAATGCCAAAAGAAACGATCACCAGACGTACCAATGGCTTAAGAATCTTGAAATGCATCTCGTGGGAACTTCATTTGGCGAAATTCAAAATATCTTGACTGCTGCTGATAGGTTATCCTGAATGACAGTTACAAATATTCTCAGTGATTTTCGAAATCTTTATGGATTAACTTTTACCTGTAATTCTATGTACATCAACACAACGGTAACTATGAAACACAATCTGTTCTTCCTACGTACACTAAAAATTGTTTAAATTTTAAATTGATAAAGGTTACCAAATAAATGTAAAATTACGTGAGATGTTGTGTAACTTACCGATGTGAACTTTGGGCAGACGTCAGGCGGACGAACGCGTTGCGAATTCGTTGCATACTTACAAGCACTTGCGCAAATGGTGTCACAATGAAACCTTCTACAGGACTGCCAGCAGACCCGCTCTGATCCGCTGTGCTCCCCAAGCCCGCCACTGCAGTTATGTTGGTTGTTCTACCAGATCGAACAATCGTGGAGCCCCTGCGTAACGGGAAAGTTTTGACAGTTCGCATGACAACATCACCAAGTGCGCCCGTTGACGAGGTAACGTTTGTGTCGGTGGGTGTGCATGGAAGAAAAAAGGTAGGATGCGATTGGTGCCCATGGGATAAATAAGGCTGCATTTGTGATGGGGTGGAAAATGCAGCCTCATGGTTAACGTAACAAGAGACTTTTGTGTAACTAGCAGGAGATGAGTATCTGTGAGAGTTCAACCAATTCGCTGGTACTTGGAATGGTGAAGCTGGTATGCTTGCAATATGTACGTTATTTCCCGGTTCATCTGATAATGCCCATAAGGGTTTATGATAGACTGCAGATACTGAAATTCCTGGTTGTGATACATTGGGTCTGGTGGGAGCTTTGATCTCTACTAGTTCTTCTTGACAAGAAAGTATGGCGGTGGTATTATTAGGACACGCTGGAACTGTGCAGGGCATTTGAAACCGAACCGCGGTACTACTTGCTACCTTGTTCTTTTCTTGTGATCCAATTAATGGAGGCATCGAAACACCCACAGTTCCTTCCGACTGAACGCGGTTTGGTACATCATTCGTTACATTGTCTGGCACAGTGTGATTACTTTCCAAAGGCTTCTCAGACTGAGATAGCAAATGTTCAACCTCCGGTGACTGAGACGAAAGACGGCGCTGCTTCACCGATGGTTTCTGTGGGTCCTCATCTCGTAGCCTGCAGCACCAACAACACCATCTGTTCAACATAGATTGCACGATACTACTTCCACTAAACAACACTATTGTGCACCACACTGTAAATCGAAAAATGTTACGACTGAAAGGCTGTCAACCTGGTTGTGAAAACTCTTCGGGATGCAATTTTAAATCGGGCCTGTTTTGCGCCAAGGTGCATTCGTATGAGAGGCTGACATGCTACAGGAGTGCGAGATTGGCTGTCACTGGTCCATGATCGGTGCACTCGTGACATAGACATAAGGCCTAGTGACAGGCGGCTCAGCGCATACCATAGCAGAGATTCGCCTACACAGGGCTTGATAGCCCGTTTGCAACGCTAGGCGGACAATGTGTCTGCCTCACCCTACGCATTGTTTACTAACGCTGAAGCACGTGTTGTTTCGGAGGTACACTTGCAGCGTCATGGGTGAGACCAACAATCCAGACTGACCTGTGTGCACACGGCTCCCTACGGTGGCAAATGACATAACCAAAGGTCCAGTTATTTGTGGCCTACCAAGCCACACATACACCCCGAAGAAGTTGCAGCTGGGTAGGATGTTAGTTTCATTGAGAGACACCGACAGTCTCAGTCTCCGACATTTAGCACGAGCGAAAAGAGCGATGACAAGTTACAAGCTGTGACTGACACCAGGTAAAGTTGGTCACATCATATTGTTCAATTATTCAATTCATTCATGAAAAAAATCTATCCAGAATGTGAAGGACTTTGCCCTATGTCAGCTTGAGCTCAAGGGTCTGTGGAACGCGGTTAGATTAACCGCATTCAGACAGCTCTTACCTTGAGGAATATTCTGGTTCTGGTCAGTCTGGTGATCAACGTAAAAAGTATACGGGAACAGAGTGTCAAACCTCACCTCAGCTCGACATTCTTAGCAGGCTATTACTTTAAAGTTCTGTTTGATTCAACTGTTTGTTTGATACTTCTCAAAATATGTATTTTATATTGACGGCAAATAGAACATTGACCAAGCAACAATTTGAGATCCAGGTTCATTCCGACTTCAATTAGCCTCATCTTTGTACTCAATGCTATCCGTTACCCATGATTAAATTTGAAAACCTACGAGTCGCTAGACTGGTTAGCAGCTGTTTTTGCCTTTCTGACTGCCATTTATTCACACACAAATAAACTATCCGCAAAGCTTACCATCTTTCAGCGTGACCCTGTTACCTGGTCCTGTTGTGCATCCAGGGGTTCTAACCATCACTTTAAGTTGCCTTGGCCATCTCTACGTAAGTTATATCTTAGCTAGCTGGAAGCCCCAACATGCGTTTGTGAAATCGCTGGGTTTTATCGCTATGTTTATTTTAACTGGTGCCCTAGAACAGCAGTTATCAATGACGCGGTTTCAAGTGGGGTCTTTACACCTTTTACTGTTGTTACTGAGTTAGGGACTATTTACAGTTTCCCATAGTAATTTAAAATGACAGTTTCGATGGTACAGTGGATGCAGGATGCATAGCAAAATTCTTCAAATCAAGCGAACTAACTCACCATATGTGCAAAATAGTCACTTTAGGTGTCCCAATAGTTCCAAAAATACCTCGATTTTATTTGCATACTATTAACCGTAAACTTTTGTATATACTCATCCTATCAGCTATATAATATGAACCAATTTCACTAGATTTCACAGTATTTTCTTTCAGGGTAATTCTGGAAATGTTCTTACGGATCTACTAAACTTTGAGTCCGTACGGCATAGGTAAGTTAAATAAATTCATTTGATTATAATCCTATACTCACAGCCACTGGACGACTTGGATTTTGTGACTTCTACTCCTTACTGACTTGTTTCCCACTGAATTTTTGAAAGGTGGAGTGTTGCATTCTTTGCACCACTACGACTTATTGCAGGGATACTACGTCTGCACAAGTAAGTGAGCCAATTGCGACGTTTTCAAAGCTATTTTTCTATCTTTAACTCGCCTCAGATGTGTTACTTGCGCTGCGTTATAACGTACCTTTTCGGCTTCGTATTCACATTTAGAACTTAGAAATGTCATCATTACATTTTTCTTTTGCTCGGCAACCAAAAATGTGACTTTGGTGAAAATGACTAAGGTTGTCAACTTGCAACTCTTAAGATCCTGCATATATCGCCGAGGTTCTGTTCTAGTTACATTTAACAGTAAGCGCTTATTCTAGCCGGCTTGTATATTCCATTTGGCACCCTTTCTCACTTAAAAGGTTTCCTTGCACATCTTGATGATAAATTCTTGGAAACATATTTTAACGGAAGTTTTGAGGTATATTTCCCTAAATTTTTTATTACGAGTGATTTATGCCATACACAAGACTTTTCTTGACTCAGTTCCTGGATTGTTTATTTATTCTCACTAATAACCATTTTAGAACATGTTTTTATATATACTGATGCCACCATTTTTATTGTATTCCGTGGGCCTACGGTTGTTGGATCCTTCGGGATGTTATGGAAATGACCGCCAGAAATGGTCTGAGTATCCCGATGGTTAGTTGTGTGATCGTCATAACGAAAAAGGGTGAAAGCTGAGAGATGATGTCTAGCAACTGGTGAGCGCCAGGGTTACACAAGTGGAACTAAAGGAAGCTACATTTGCATCTCAGCGGACCTCTCTCCATTCCCCATTCAGGACCGAGGGGCAAATAAAGCTTTCTATATCCATATGGGTACATTTGTAGCACTACAATATCGACAACGGATAGACTAAACTTATATTATAAAAACTAACTTTGTAGGAGTGGATAATAGGATACTGCGTAGAACTGTCACGTAGATAACCCCGATCAGTATAAAGGAGCAACAATTAAACAGTTACGGACAAAATAATTTAAAACCAACGTTGCAAGCTAGATTTTCAATCGGAACAGTCCTTCTTCACGCGGTCAAAATCTTAAATTTTCCTCAAAGGTTACGCGGAGGACAGCAGCGGTGACCTTGGAAATAGCTTAACAAATATCCATGTTGAAATATTCCGAGCACATTAATATATCGAATATTGGAAAATGGCAATGGCAAGTCTGATTTAAAGGCCCCGTCTCCACCAGCTGTCCCAATCTCAATTTAGCGTCCCAGTCTCCAAATGCCCCCAGCCACTTCGCTCTACAAATAGACAAGCCTTTAATAACTTGCTTCCACTTCTTTCAAGTGTGTAGCAACGGGTAATTTTCTTGCCATACTTGGGACCCAAAAGTACAGCCAGTCCACATGAAAAGCAACTGGACATCATATGAGGAGGTTGGCTTCCCGGAAAAAGCCAGAAAGACAACTGTGCCTTTATCTACAGAACTTGTTCAAAACTGAGGTGTCACATCATGTATTCGTATCACTAGTGCCGTCGAAAATTCACAGAATGTAATTGGACCTAGTGTTTTTAAGAATATAACCCTAGGCCCAATCATTATGAAATAACGTACCTGAATCCAGGTTCAATACACAAGGGGTAAACTGGTGGACGATCGTAATCAATGGGACTCCATCTGTAATGCCCTCAGTGTCCTTGCTAATCCTACTACACCGAAAGGCATTGCGAGTCTCCCATACTCATTGCACTAAAGTGAGGCACAATTACTTCGAGTAACACTAAATTCTGCAGATGAGACGGAGGCCAATATCTTATCTTCACAGATAGGAAATGGACCTCCGTCTCAAGTCCACAGTGCATCAAATGGTGTGTACATACTACCGAACTTCTCTTGGAAGGAACGCTCAAAAGACATGGTCGACGAAGATGGTGGTCAAAAACAAGATAGGAAAATCGTCATAGTATACGGGGTTCCCTAGTCTCAAGCTCCCTCTCCCGACGAAACTCAGACACATGACTGAGAACAATGGTGATACCTTCATGAGGCACTCTCTTTACGTCGCTGCCACTCGGTTGTCAAGGATTCCCATGTCTTCTAATTACAAAGGATGTAGTCCTAGACTGCTGAATTTGGTTATACACTGCCAGCTAAAGGTACAGACCATTATAGAGAATATGGCAAAGTTCCATAACATGCTGCCCATATAAATGTGACTGAAGACATCAGGGTCATGACCACAGGCTGCTGATTACTCATTGCGGGTAGGGGGGCAAACATTAGCGAAAAAGCCCGTTGTGGAGTTCACTGCGGCGATTAAGCCAATAGCTGTCTTAACATCCTGAAAGACACTGCAGGATGCGAGTGACGTTCAGGGTCATCATGACCTGGAGTGTCTAGTGCAGTAAGGTATCCCAACTCCATCTTGAGAAAAAGTGACTCCAAAAAGATAGATTAGCAGCCGATCTCACAAGGGTCGACCAAGTCTAAAAATTGTCGGTTAAATCTTCCACCATTTTTAATGTATAAGACACCCTCTTTTGTTTTCCCAGCGCACAAGGCTTACTCAGCAAACCGACGGGTCTTCGGCCGCGTCAGACCTCAATGTCGTGGGACTTCATCGTGCTAATCGAGACATGGTTAAGCGAAGCGATCACTGACGCCGAAATCGAACTTATTGCAATATCCATTTTGCGCAACGATCGACCGAATTGCGGAGGTGGTGTACTTCTTTATTCCCGCTGTGAGCCACCTCTTGACTTTATCGTCGACCCGGATGTCCGGATTGTCGGCGCGCTTTGTGCCGTCTTTGCCTGAGACATGTTGACGCATGCCTAGGGGGTATGGTGTACGCCCTCCGTTGCCCACTTCAGATATAAACAACTACCTAACCTCCCTTAGGAAAACTGTACTCGCATAGTCACATTCTTCAGGTATGTGACTTCAAACTTCTCTCTAGGAATCCCAGACTGTACTATGAAGACTTCAAAATTGAAGTGCAGAACTAATTATTGAATTACCAATCTACAACCACGTTACTTCTCCGCATGATTCAAGCCGGGGAACAAACCAATTCTCCGTGATTTCGTCCTCCCTATCGAAGAGCTTATGATCGAAGCAGTATCAGTAGTTCATGCTTTGGGCCCCAGTAATTATGCAACACATTCGCAACAACATCTGTTATGTTGAGTACTCTAAGGGAACTGCCGATGGCTCCCAGATTACTACCGATTGCAGCGTTACTGCCACACCTTAATGCAACAGACTGGTCGTTTCTAGATGAACTACCCCGATATAGCCTGGTGTTATTTTGTTCAGCAGTTCCACAAGTTAGTTGCCAGCGCTTCGAGAAACGTGCCTCCATGCGCGGTGAGAGAAAAGCTATTCACACGCAGCAGAACGCGAGATTCCCTCTGGCAAAACTATAAGGAGTCACCGAGTGCCGAAACATGGGTATCCTACACTATCCAACGAAATCACTGCGTGAACCTGGTACGAGGTGACAAAATAAAACATCAACAAGATCTAGCCACGAAATTCTCTTCAAACCCAACACTCCTTTGCAGACATGTTAACAAACACTGGAAAGTGCAGCGATAGATTCCTGTCTTCCACAAGCCATACAAGCCAGCACAAACCGCAACAGAGCAGCCAACTCCCTATGTCAGCAATCCTCCCCAAACTTCCAGAGCACGACTTCATTGCCTATGCTGTTCACTCAACTTGTATCACTGTCAATACCTGGCCATATCTCGTTTACGGCTATTGACGTTCTATTGACGTTTTACGCCAGCATACCTCTCCTAGTGCTGATAGTATCCAACCAAAGGTGCTGAACTTAATTAAATTGAAATCGGTGGATCCAACCTCTAGATCCTTCCAACAAGGTCACTAGCAATGTGTGTACCCACAACGTGGAAACACGGAATCGGCACTCACATTCACAGTGGAGGAAATCGTGCAGATCCAGCCAATTATCGCTCGATAAAAGTTCTTCTGGTGCTATCCAAAATCATGGAGTCTGTTATTGCTAAACGCCTATGAGTTACTTGGAAGAATACAAAATTATATCAGCCGAACAACATAGATTCCGCCAGAAGCGACCCTGCACCACAAATCCATTGCTTACTCGCTCCATCTGGACCGGAAACGTCCAGAACTGTGTGGGAGTTGACGTAGTCTATCTTGACTTCTCAAAGGCATTTGATCGTCTGAACTACCGCATCTTCATGCACGTGCTTAATAGCTGTGGAGTTGGTAACCTAATTCTCCGTTGTATAGACACGTTCCTGATGCAACGACATCTGTGAGAGTTCGCAATGCCGCATGTGACCCAGTCGAGGTGCATTTCGGAGGGCCACAGGGTTCAGCATTTGGTCTGAGCCTATGCCTGATTTACAGAAACCATCTCGCGATAGTTATCACTTCAATTTATTGCTCTTTGCGGATGATCTCAGCATACGGTTGGCCGTCAAATCCACGGGTGACCTCATAGTGCTTTAGAACGACCTTAACAGAGCATACGAGTGGAGGACTGAGAATCTGCTTCCTTTCAACGCCACCAAGTATAAGACATTTGGCATACGCCGTCCATTTTTGCACCACGCTTCTACTAAACACGACCTAGGGTGACAGTACAAGGAGGCTTTATCTGTTCACCTCCGGCCGAGATGACGTCTATACAAGCTAACCAACACCGTGGCCTTTTTCAGTGCGCAATCAGGCGTCCTGACCCTTTAATCTTCTCCCAGAAGCTCAAGGCCTACATAGGACCTCATTTAGAATACATCACCTACGCCCAGCAGCCTTGGCACGAGCGCGACCTCACCGCACTTGGAAAGTCACAACAAAGGGTGACGAAGAAGGTTATGGGTCGCTTTAATCTCCTTTATCAACTGGGGCTGAAAACCCCAGAAGTATACAGTGGATACTATCGACGCCCGTATGACGATTTGATTATTATAAATATTTTAGTGTAAATGGGCTACCACGCTACTGCAAAAGCATCAAATCGTACGAAATAGATCTTCATTTTAAGTTACAGTCGTCTCGGTTATTCAACTTATGCGTCCCTCGAAGTTATTGCTGGCACGATTATTTGCAGTCATCTATCGCCCTTTTCCGTTCGCTCAACATATGGGTTTAACAGTATCTATCATAAATACTGAAACCGGTGCTGTTGGCGGAAGATGCGGATGCGTCGTCTCGGGAGTAACGACTAAGTCGATTATGTTTTTCATTGGAGTTGCCTTTCAGAAACTGGCAGGTCGTTATAGCTTCCAGTGTCCAACAGCAAGTGGACAGTATCCTCAGATGATGTAGCCTGGTCAGGTGAAAAGTGTGAGAATGGTCCAAATGGACACAGTGAATATTTTTGATTCAGTGTTACGCTTGCTGGTGGAATCAGAGGCTTGTTTGTTCAACAAGTGGCTACTGGTGTCTGCTGGAATACCGCGTCATTGGGGGAATTGGATCGTCTTGGGCAACAAGTGAAGGCTTAGGGAATTCTCTGCTGTTACAGACCCATCGGGTTTTGAGTGGCTTCGAATCCGGATGTCCGCATGAATTGTGGGCCAGACGAATAGGAATTGTGTTTGAGTCCCAAAATGAGTCATGCTTGTTTTGACTGTTGTTGAAACTGCATTCGGGCGAATAACCCACGGGCCAGGTGGGCTGCTCGAGCAAGTCCTCGATAGTTATCCTTAGTGTTAAACATTTCCAATCATACATTAATATACACTGCTCTGTTGATAATCGGCCTTACACACACGGGGTTAAGGTGGTTCCATCCACCAGTCTGTCTCATTGATTCCTGAACGCATACTCACAAGCTCAAATTAAATGCAGTGCTCCAGTTTAGCAACCAGGAGGCGACAGTGAAATAGTCCAATTTAGCATTGTGAAATGTATATGAAGCCAACTGGGGCCGACCATTCAATGAATGACATTGATTAGTCTAGATTGTATTGCAATAGCACTTCAAAGTATGGACAGTTCCATTCGCATGGGTTTCATATACCGTTAGGTAGTTATGATCAGTCTATCGGTCCTTTATCAAAAGTTGGCGGTGTGATTTAGTCGTCGCGCTTGACACCTGAACTGCTCTCTTGGTATACAGCGGTTGTTCATTGTCTTTTCTGACAGATCTGAATCTGTTCTAAAGGTGGATGGATCCAAGGAGCAACTCAGTTTTGGGGAACACGCACGCATGAAACGCAATTGATTGACAACCGGAAGTTTCTTGTTAATATTAAATGCAACATAACATGTGTACCTTTCTTTATATATTGTCAATCAGTGTTATAACGCTTTTACGAAAACCCACACGCACCTGCCCATGTGATTGGTAATATATCGCTTTTTGCCACGTTTCCACCAGTACTGCACTTTTCTACTTCGTCAATCAGTCAACCATTGAATCCCAATCAGTTGTTGGTTTGTAATGATTTCAAATAGACTATGAAGAAGGGTTAGTGTGTTCCTAGAACCCTGCATTGGCACGCTTATATTACTTTTTAGCTGGTTTAACCAACGTGGAGCATATCACTTTGGAAAAGAGGCATACTTGACTGCGGAATCTTTTAAAGCTCAGGTCCAATTCCCAACCAACTCATAATGAGGACGCTTGTTGGTCCGGTAGTTTTCACTGTTGGTTTGAATAATGTATTGGGGCCAGATGATGCTGGCAGGTTGAACGACAAGCTGAATGGATAATTAATAGAACACGAACTGTGGAAGAATCCCTGACGTATTTTTTCCAAAACCTTGGTAAATGAACATGTCATATTAGCTGATATTATGAAATGGTACCTAAGATCTTTGACCCAGTTGATGACGTACAATGACCGGTTTTGTGAGTTTTGTTTCAATCCTAAATCGTTGTAGCTAAATTATTACCCGATGAATTTCAAAGCGTCGACAAAAGCTATGAGGCTAACTCACAAATAGTCCGGTGTGGGGGAATTGCCCTGAGATTCCGAAGCCAGAGCAGAAACGAAAATTGATCCACGTCTGGTTCTCCCCACTGGGGCAGATGACAGGGCAGAGCTTGTCGAGACCGCTTGTCTTTCATACGAATATTTGGCGGTAAAGGACTTTTCTCTGTAAGTAATAAAGAAAAGTCAGCTGCGTAACATAAATATTAAACACAATATCTTGAACCATCTTTCTCTATAACTCAAATCACAGCACCGTGTTCGTAATACTTCCGCTGCATAGTCTAAACAAGCATCTTTTCAATTTGTGCATTAATCTCCAAGTCGGACACAAATCACTGTTCTTTACTCTGGCTTCCATAGATGGTTGTACTATTTACTTAAATTGCTAAATATAAGTACCTATATTTCCACATTTCCCTTTTTACAGTCATTCTTTGATATTACTTCATAAAACATGTCAATAGCGCCTTTAGAAACTATTTTGTAAAACTGAAACAAATTTATGTCCTATCCGCTTATGTTATACAGAATGATTAGACCATCCACTCTGTTTGTGTCTTACACTGTCGGGAAATATCTAGTTTATTTAATTAACGTTTTCACTAATGCGAGCAAAAGAGTAATGGTTGTGTATCACTCTTAGGATGAGATAAAATGATCGCATTTTTATTTGGATTAGTGCACTGCGTTCTTTATCTCACATCGGACGTCACAAGTTGAAGCCATATAAAGATGTCAGGGTGCGACCGCGAGGTAGGTAGCAACAGACGAAAACCCACGAACCCGATATATTGATATAAACAGCGACAACTAGCTTTTATCTACAAGGTATCTAAAGAAGGCCCGTGCTGGAAGATATGTATTATGGAAACAGTTTAGTTATTACTGCCGAACACTGCGAGCTAAAAATTCCTTCCTGAAAACGCGGAATACTTATTGACCATACTTAATGCTGAGTAATTAGAACTGTTTAACCTGAGCTCAGTAATGACAGGAAGCACTCGTTTTGTGTAATTGTAGAGTAAGGCTTCGATTATGACAGAAGGACATCTCCAGTTGGGGTGAATCGGTGTACCACTGAAATGCACTTTCTGACTCCCACTAACTTCGACACTGAGTTTCTGTAACATACGACACTGAAAGTGTCACTGATTTGTCTTATATGGGAAGGAAAAGCGCATAAAAGTGAATACGTATAAACTCTTCGACTAATAAACCTATACATATGAAGGGAATGGTAAAGAACAGCGTGGTTAATGGGTAACTGAAGGAATATTTACTTGCGAGCTCCCTGTGATCACAATTAATTAGCGTTGAGCTAATGGTTATTAAGCGACGAAAGTTTAAGAGATACAGGTAAGTTGGACCGTATACGCGATACGACATTCAGTACATTCGAGTATTTGTGAACATCTTCGTATCTATTCCTCCTTTATTGCAATTTTACAAATCTAACATTTCCACCATTTTCTTGTAGAACTAATTTGTCTTTACTATGTATTCACGTTAGCCGCTTACCTATCCGTACTATAGTCAGTGATCTTAGGTCTACACTGATCATACGTGGGTCAAGTTGCTGAGTTTGATTAGACAGGCTTCGTTTCTGCTGCATGATGAACCAATGTTAGGTGACGGAAAATATTATTCACTTTTTATATACCGTATATTAGAGTAGGAAGTTGCAATGTTAAAGTTGTCCACAATCATAAGTCCGAATAGTAGCAGACCACCCGAAAAATTCCCAAACCGGGAAACGAAAGGGTGTCTCATGATTTTGACTTCATTACTGCCTGCTCTCAATTGAGCGTGCCCAAGCAAAAGTAGCTCTACTATTGGTCAGTTCAGGCGACCTAATGTGTTATGATCGCAGTTAACGGAGCTTAGAGCCGTAAGGACAAAGAGTTGAACAGCACAGATGACGATATTCACTCTGAAGTGCCAATCACAGAGGACCAGTACCAGAAACAGTTTGGAGACTCTGACTCGGATTCTACTTTCGAAGCATACGAGTAATGTTAACACCACGGTGCAACGTTTGGATATGTGAGTCTTTAAAATCTACCGGTACGTGCTGTTCTGTTATGTCTTTTTCTAATGATATTGTATGTGTTCGGTTCTGTATAACCAGTATGTTTCTTTTGTTGTTATCCGCCGCGAGAGTCTGATGTGCAATATAACGTGAAGTTTCGGCACAAACATAATGTGTCCGCATATAGACACTTCAAGTCCCCGCCTGGGATACCGTCGGACACTAGCTGGTGGGGCTAGGGCAAGATAATGACATAGGTGCGTAGTAAATTTCTGGGTGAATATTTTGCGTGTGATTTTTTCAAATTGCGCATAATCATGTATAATCCGATCCCCCCACTACCGACATGAAAAAGTATCCAAAATTCTTAGGCTTATACACTGGTATATACGGTATTCCAGCTGATTTGTTGCGGCAGCATTTGTTTAACTGACCCGACTTGTGATTGCACAGACACTTGAATCGATCATGAAATGTTGTGAAAATTCAGACGTAGGGTACACCCGATAGGACTCTGAGCACATCGACTGCCGATGTAACACAATAACGACAGTGTTAGTATAGAAGATGGGTCGAAAATCTCTTCAGCAGTTACATCGCTAACAGAAGACCACGTAAAAGAAGAACAGAATAGTAGAGCAGTTTTAATTTTGAATTGGCTAAACTTGCTCGAGTCCAAATGTTTGTCATTTCTAATTAAAAACCCAGCATGTTTCCAGATAACATTCGCACGAGGCGGCTTCCTTATATTAATTTTATCCAGCCTGATGCATTCAGTACAATAACTGGTGATGTTGTCCTTTGGGGGACCTATGAGTCCCAGTTCTAGTTCCAACAGGGAAGCATTCAACTGTGTTCACAGCACAGTTGATCAATAAAAGTTTGTCGGTTATCTAGAAATTGTATCACAAATGAAGCACGTACTTCCTTGGTTAAGAAGTTCAGAAACAATTAGACAAGTCTTGCTTCCTGGAATGTATGCGTTTAAACAGTCTGCGATCAACGCGCACTATTACTGCTCTCAACTCCATGGTGGATTTATCGCGGCAAGTTCGCTCCTGATGTAAATATTTGTATGTTTAACCAATGAACAATTTGGACACACAACAAGAAAATGCTCTGCAATTTTAATTAGGACAAAACCTGACGAAACAACGAGACATTCAACCTCATGATGGATGACAAGTAGGAAGTTCCCGTAAGAGAACGCGATCTAAGCCACGACCGTAATCTGGGACAACGCAACTAACTGTGAATGTCGAAATATTTGTTGCGTAAGGCGGCCATTGAAAAACAAACCCGTTTGCCTGTCAAATATATTATGAACGACTAATCATTAAATCGCTACCAAGTAGCAAATGTACAGCGCTACTCAAGCTTTGTTATTAGATGGTATCTAAAGTAATCTGTCTATCTAACGAAGGAACACCGGTCAACCTGGACTAACTCACACCGCATATGCTAATTCCTACTTGAATACATAGTCGGGTTTATACATCGAACCGAGGGGACTGTGTGTTACCGACTACAGGAACATGTGACAAAATTGGTCCAATTTAAAATTGGCCATTACCCTTGATCGACCTCAGCTTCCGGTTTGTTAATCCCACCAGCATTTTTCGTAGATATGTGTCCTCGTTTCACCGGTGTCATCGGAAGGAGCTCAGATCAGCGCTCAAAATTGTGGTGTGCCACACTGACCCCCTCCTTCTGTGTTTCGCTGGCGTTGTCACAATAAATCGGAGGAAACCAGCATTGCGCATTCAGACATAATTATATATCAGCCTTGGGTTGTCATCCATACAAGGCTTGAATTGGCATCATTCATTTGGCGCCCCATAGTTAAGTATATAATGGCGCACCGGTTATTGTTATAAGTAGTAAGCTAATAAGATAGGTAAGCAGCAACCAGTTTTAATTCTCTTTCTATGCTTTCAAATTGATGTAGGAAATAATTGCCTAAGAGTTGTTTCCCTCTAGATGATTTTTACTAATTTGCGCAAAGTAATCGGTTTAACGTTGGCCATGTTTACTAATCATTTCCATGGATCAACCGCACTCCATTTTGACGGTATTTTTGCACATTGATGTGTATTACATCATTCTGCATTTAACTCCACGCTACTGTGCATTTTTGACATTTTGATATCACTGTATATTCAAACGAAATCACCGCTATCTCTTCCTAGACAGTCACAGGGTGTAAAATCTGGAAAGAAAATACCGGTGTAAACTTTAAAACTAGTACCTCAATGAAACAGCGGGTTCCGTTACACTGATAAAGATTTACGGAATAGTGCCAAATTCAATAATCATTGATTCCCTTCCTCTGCTTAACATGAAAACAGGTTACAAACAGGAGCAGATATCACGTATAACAGCATTTAGGCCTCTGAACGCCGCAGGATACCTGTCGCCATGGAGACACCGAAGCCGCCATTCAAGCTAAGATTTTGATTGGCTCCGTAATACCAAAGATGCTGGTACTTAACTCTAGGTCCTGGTGCACATCAGAGAGAAGCATGCTTTGCCACACTGCATTTCATTAATAATGGAATGTTACCAAACTTAATTCAGGCACGTATGCATCAGCAATCAAGCGGATACACTGTCTTCTAATTAAAAATGCAACCGTGCTGACAAGAATAATATTATTGTACTCTAGCCAATCCAATGAAAAGAACGCGCTATTCCTCATTGTGACTATAATTGACGGAGGATTGGCAATCCTCATAATTCACTTGAACACCCAAAAGGCATTGGACCGCCTGCCACACAGACCGCTGTTGTCCGCGGTAGAATCTTATGGCATTGGAAATCTTTTACTATGCTGCTTCGTAACCAGAGTCAGAATAGGTCAGCAAATCTCTACACCAAAATGAATCATCAGCGGTGTTTTCCAGGGAAGTGTGCTGGGACCATAACTATTCTTAGTCTATATAAACAACATATGTGTTCCCATCAAACACGGACGCACTTTTCCGTTTGCAGGCGACGTCAAACTAGTCTAGTTTTTTCAACCAGACCAACTACAAGAGTGTCTGGGAAGCACTCATGAAGAGCAATTTGCACTGAATATCTCTAGTGCACGTCGGCTAATGCAATTTTCGATAAGAAAACCCAAACTACTTGGA